ACATCTCAACAGTGAGCACGCGCTGGACGACAGAAGTACAGCCCAGTGTAGAGTCCAGATGCAGGTGGTGCAGCAGTTAGAGCTACAGGTAAAGCCCCTTTATTTCTAACCTTCCCTTGGTGTTCTGCAATGGGTTCCTGTGTGCTCGGTACTCAAAGTCCGAAGCCTGTGGTCGTCCTTTATTATTGTTTTTTAACTCTTTGGGCACATTCAGCCTGGGAACTGCTACCCTGACATCTGGTCGCCCCCAGGCCGTGTGTGTGTGTGTGTGCAGCCAGTTCATGGCCACCACCTCAGCTTTTCCATCTCTCCCCCATTCTCCCTCCCTTTTCTCGCCTCGTTTTCCTTTCTGGTTACCTATTGCTGAACTAATTCCCTCAAGTTGCTACTGCTGTTAAACTGCAGTTTGGGGAGAGGAGTGTGGGCCCAGGGAGGTGTGTTGTGCCATGTCGGAGTGGAAGGCATATGAGGGTCATTCCTCCTCCTACGTGGCACCCGTTTCTCTCCACCACTGAGAACCACTGAGTGCTGACGGCACACATTGAAAATATACACATAGAGCTGGGCACGGTGGCGTACCCCTGTAGTCTTAGCACCTTGGGAGGCTGAGGCAGGAGGACCACAAATTCAAGGGAAGCCTCAGCAACTTAGGCAGACCCTGTCTCAAAAAGTGAAAAGGTCTAGGGGTGTAGCTCAGTGGCAGAGCACCCCCGAGTTAATTTCCTATTGCCAAAATAGACATATTCACATATATGTGAATAAAATGTGCATAAATACTTGTGTCTGTTTACACATTTATGTGCATATATACTTGTATCTATTTACACATGGTGTGATTTGGTGTTTAGAAAGCCATTGTGCCATGTTGGACCTATTTCATGACTCGTTCACATTTTCCTAGGCATGAGAGATGGGGGCATTCCTAAAGGGGGTTCCACCGCCTGGTACAGCTTGTTGATAAAATACCATATTTGAACAATAATCCCATTCTTGGCATAATTAATAGAAAATTAGTTTCTAGAAGTAAAAATTGGGTCAGAAATAGAGATTATTAAAATGTACAGTTACAGAAGCCTGACCCTATAAACCCCATTTATGCAACCAAGTTCCAGAGCGCTTTTGAGTACCCGTGACTCCGCGGCTTCTTCCTCTGGCTGGTGCCGAGTGGGCAAGAGGTTAGTCAATGAGGCGAAATTAAAACAGCACTGCACGTTACGTGGGTACCAGCCATCGGAAACCTATTTTGTATGCAAGGCAGCAATGCCGAGATATATGGAGAGCCCTCGGCTAAGTACAGGAGATAATTACATTTGGAATTTCACCGAGTTAAGTCATTTACAGCTTCAAATAGTTGCAGAGAAAAATCAGCCCAAACACCACTTAAACTTTTTGTTGTAAGTTTTCTGGATAGAAAGAATCTTTTTTTTTTTTCTTTAAATTAGCTCTCATCTTATATGACAAATTCTGTTTTGTTAGTAGGATTTCTCAAAAGTTATTTTCTAGAGCTAGTTAATGTTGTCCATTCTAATGACACACAGAAACTTAGCAGAACAGTAAGATGTTTATCCAGGCAAAGGTCACATCAAAAAAATCCCCAATTTTTGTATGTCTTTGGAAATATCCTTAAACCTAACCTGTTGTGAAGAAGGAAAAAAAAGTGATAGATTTAGCACCCCCCCCCCCCAAGTTTATGTAAAGCACCCTATGCCTGTGAAAACCCGGGTTCCACAGTATGCACGCTCGGGCGCTGCGGTCTGCATGTGTGTGTGGGTCTGGTATTTATGAAGTAATGCCCATTGCTGGATAAAATCACCTTCCTGATGGCGGGCTCCGAGCCCTTGTTCTGGGTGGCCCAGGACTGCATGCTGCAGAATGCTCAGGGCAAGGTGGAGGGGTTGTGAGTCACCCAGGAACTGCGCATCTGCTTTACTAATTGTACACTCTGTACCGACAGAGGTCAGGGGGAGGGAGACCCTCCACCAGCCAGGCCATCTCTCCTGGCCATGGGACCGTGGGTTTCGGTGGGCGTGGCAAAATAAACGGACAGCAGTCTTGGGTAGCTGCAGATTTCACGTATGCATAGATTTCTCTTCGTGCTAAGGCTTTAGGTCAAAGTGAAGATCAGGTTTTCAACTTGTGATGGAAAGCAAGGTGCGATGGCAAGAAAGTGTGCTGTTGTGGTCACCTGCGATGGCCGCATCCCAGGCTGGGCTTCCGTGGAGGGAGGGACAGGCTCTTTTGGACAGCGCTGCTCATGCAGGGCCTGAAGGATTATTAGATGGTGGCCTAGTGCTTGTCAGCAGCAGGCAGATTTCTCAGGCCTGATCCCAGAGGCTGAGGAAGGTTTTGACATTTCAAATAGGAGACCAAAACCACAGGGTACCACTGCAGAACAGGTGAAAATGCCCCGAGGTCCGTATCTCGGTGCCAGCTCCAGAGGCTGTCCAGAGCCAGCCGTGCTGGGATCACCTGTGCACGACCACAGCAGTGCCAAGTAACTGGCAGATCCCTGGTTCTTAGGTGAGATGGCGAAGCAGCCCGTGGCCAAGGGTGAGGGGAATCGAGTGGCATTACGCTGTTAGCCCCTCGGGCCTGCGTTCCTGGCTGCCTGGATTGTGCACGCCTCCTGTCCTCCCCTCCCACCCCTTCCTTCCTGGCCAAGGTGGAAAAGCCTGTGCTGTCCCCAAGTGGGTCAGGGCACCTCCTAGGCTGCACGAGGGCTCGCCAGCCTCGGAGGTCATGAGAGCCTTGCTGAGGGTGTTCCCTCACTGGTACTTTCTCACTCAGCAAGTGGTAGGCAGAACCCCCACCCTGTGCCATCTCGGCTGCGCCTCCGTGGGGTCCAGTAGTGCTGACAGCAGGCAGGACGGCCCCTGCGTTCCATCCTCCAGAAGCGACAGGAGACCACAAAGTTCTGGTAATTGTCCAGCAGAGCCACCCACCATTGGATAGTGCTAGCTGACGCTAACACGTTCTTGAAAGTGCCAGACGTTTACCCAGAAGAGGGTCTTGATGTTACAAAGAGGTCACACGATAACAGATTTTGCCCGTCCGTTACTCAGTCAGCTGACACAGAGAAGAAAGGCCAGCAGTTTTAGTCTGTAACCCTCTTGAGCTCCAACGAGCTCTATCCAGGCCTCGCTTGAGGGTCTGGGGTGCATCCTAGTGCTGCAGGGGACCCTGGGACAAGGCTTCCTCCATGTCAGTGTGGTCACACTTGCCACTTCTCAGGCTGGTGTCGGGAAGTGCACTTCTGAATGGACCCTCGACTGACAGTCCTGGTGCCTGTGGAGGCTGAGAACAGGGAATGAGGCCCCTGCTCCAGCAGGAACACGGGAGCAGACACATTTATGCATGGAGAGTGGCCTTTGCAGGTGCCCTTTCCCAGGGCACTGTCCCCCATCCTCACATCGCAGGCTGGGGTTCACCTGCCCTAGAGGGAGTGCCCTCTACCTGCCTGGCCCAAGGGCTACTTCTTTTCCATTAGAGAAGTGTACACCAGTCCAGGAAATTTCCTGAACTTGCAGGCATCTCAGAGTAGGCTGCAGAATCCGCATGGAGTAACTTGAATTTGAGAACCGTTGGTACCATTGAGCCCTACAGGGGAGAGGCGTCCCCCAAGGGTGGTGGCTGGGCCGGAGCAGGAGGAGAGCTCTGAAGCGGCAGGCCCACAGGGCCTCTGTCCACACAGCAGCCCTTGAGCCTGGAGCACTGGACCAGATCTTCCAGCGTGCAGTGATGGAGGCTCCTTAGGTCTAAACTAGAGGATCACAGTAAAGGACCAACAGGAGGCTTCAGAGGGCAGATTCAGGTCCAGCAGTGACCGTCGCCAGTGGAGGCCACTTGAGCCCTGGGCTGCGTACCTGTGCAGGCCCTGGCATCTGAACCCCAGAAAATTCCTCTTACCCATAAGAGACGGCCCTTTGTGTCTCATCAGTGATGTCCCTCACTCTCAGGGGACAGTGGCTAGAGATGCTTCCCTTCACAGAGCTGCCGATAGGCTCCTGTGCATGAATCAAACCAAAAGCAGGACTTTTTGAGGTCAGAGAGTACAGTGTAAGATTTCATCTCTTGAATGTCCCCTTGACAGATTCTTCCGGAATGTCGTACAAAGGGGTGCGTTAGAAGTGGGGCAGCGTTCTCACATGGTCTCGTGCAGGTGCATTCATGAGTCAGCCTTTTGTGTTCTGGGGGGGCTTTCCACTTGGAGGCAAGGAAGCGTCCTGTTCGGCAGACAGCAGCCAGCCAGGACCTGCCTCTCTCGGAAAACAAGGCATTGCTAGCGTAGCTGCCTTTTCCTGACGAGCGATAGGTTTCCCTGTGTCCCAGGACTGCGCCATGGGGTCAGATTGTCCTGAGTCCTGGGGTGGGGTGTCTTTGGCATGCAGGGATAGAGAGGACTGGGAGATGAGGCAGAGCCTGAGGGCTCAGGACAGTGTCCTGCAGCCCCGTCACCGAGAGACCCTCTGAGATGGGTATTAACTCAGCAAGAGACGAGGCAACCCAGCCGGGACCGCACCACTGCCTGTGGACGGGTAGGAGTTAGATGTGTGGCTTCTGCTGCTTAACACATGATTGAGGGAGCACTGTGGTGATCAAAGCCCTGGGTGCCGCTTCCTCGCCAGGGACCAGCCTCCACCACTGCACCAGGCCAGGTTCCTAAGAGAGAGGGAGACTTTGACAAGGACAGTCTGGCCAAGGGCCCTGGAGGACTGAGTCAGATTGTAGGGTGAGGGAGAAGCACGGTGCTCGACTTCCTGAAATCCGTGTGTCTGTTCCAAACGAGATGGGCTGACCAGAGGTCTGCTTGGCTGGGAACGAGATTTTTGAGACTTGGGGTTTTCAGTTTAAAAGCTGAAGAGCGTCTTGGGCAAGCTGGGGACAAGAGCGCTTGAGTGCCCCTCGTTCCGCTCATGATCATTTCAGAGGAGCTCAGGGACCACTCTTCCCTGAGCTGCTGTCTGCCAAGACACTGTCCCCAGCTCCATCACATCCTCGCCTTCCCTATGAGCAGCGCTCACCCTCTTCCCTTGGTTCTCAGTCACTATTTAAAGAAAAACGGGAGGTCAGGGATTAGCCTGTGTCTTGCCTCTAGTGAGCACGTGTGGTGTCATGCTGCTGCTGTGTTGGAAAAGGCGGGAGTCACCCCTTGGTGAGCGTGACCACCACCAGCCTCTTAGATCCCAGGAGACAATTTCCGTGCCCACTCCTCCTGGAGGAGCACCCTGAGGCAGAGGCAGTCAGAGTCACTTGCTCCAAGCCAGCGTTAAATACTGAGCAAAGCCTGGGAGGGCCACGCGGCCTGGCAGCCCGAGCCCTTCCTCTTGCCCAGGGGTCCCCGTGGCCCTTGGGGCTCTGTGCTTATGCCGTGAGCTGCCGATGCTGGTTTTAAAACCTGGCTGGCTTGTGGGTGGCGTCCCTTCTGCTTCCCAGAGTCTCCTGTGGAGCCTGGCCAGGTCCCTGGCCAGGTCCCACCTGCACGAGGCACTGAGAGCTCTGAGAAGGTGCGGCAGGGAGGGACGTGCAGGGCTGCCCTGGCGGGTGTGGACCGAGTCCCGCACCACGCATTGCTAGATGCACTTTGCCTGCCATGGGGTTAGCGAAGTGGCTCGTCCTCACCCAGCTCCAGGCCTCAGTGAGCGGCCCTAGCAGTGCACCCCGCTTCAGGCCTCTCTGACCCCCTGAGCCAGCTCCCAGAGCGAGCTGGGGACAGAGTGCCCGACAGTGGTGCAGCCCCGCACGGCCACCGCTTTGCAGCTGGGACCAAGGAGGAGAAGAGAGGGAGTCCAGGTTTCTCCCTTCCTTGTCCCTTGAACACCAAGGTGCTGATTTTTCATGATTTAGAATCCTGCCTAACTCCGGGAGCACTGGAATTCCTAGACTATGACTGACTGTTAGTGTGCGTCTGCTTCAAGTGTCAGGAGAGCCTTTAAGAACAGCTCGTGAGGAATGCTGAGACGGGACGGTGCGCGGGGACGGGGAGGGCCTGCGGCCGGGTGAAACGAGCCATGGACTGCCCGCCACCAGCGCCTGTGGCTAAGGAGTCTTGACAGGTTGTCCCCGGAGCTGAGCTCAGCGGGCACTAGAGCTGCCCGGAGTGGGAAGAACGGCGGCTCAGCCAGTGCTGGGTTTGCCAGCAGGACTTGGGTTCTGTTCCTCCCAGGGGTCAGGTATGTGTGTGCGTGTAGTGTGTGAATGTGTGCGGGGTGTGTGTGCATGTGTAGAGTGTGGGCGTTGTGCATGTGTAGAATGTGTACGTGTGTGTAGTGTGTGTGCGTGTGTAGAATGTGTATGGTGTGTGTAGTATGTGTGTAGTATGTAGTGTGTGCATAATGTGTGTAGTGTGTGTTGTGTGTATGCATGTAGAGTACGTGTGCGTGGCAGAGGGCACTGTCTCCCAGACTTGTCTGGTTCCCTGCACACGTGGAGGCCTTGTTCCAACGAGACCACCTGCTTACAGATGTGGAAGCGTGGGCTTGGCAGGGCAGGGTGGTGTCTGCTGACTTTGCACGCCTGCTCTGGAGGCCCAGCAGCGGAGACCAGCTCAGGGGTGAGGGGCAGAGGCAGAGGCAATAGAAAACTCAGGTGATCCCTGTGATCCCATCGGACCAAGCCCACAGTGCCCGCCGGGACCCTGGTCTTGTCTCTGCCCCCTGCTGTCTGCACGCCCTCAGATGGTTTTGCCTGTGGCCTCAGTTTCCCCAGGACTGGAGGACCTCAAGTGGCCAACCAGGCCTCACCTCCGTTGAGTGGAGTGACCGGCCTGGCCCTCACTGTCCTCTGTTGAGATGTCGGCACCACTGGACACAGACCAAGCCCCGCTCTTGTTGTAGCAGTTTTGTTTCCCTGCTCTGCTAAGGGACCGCGGAATGTCCTTGGTCTTCTCTTGCAGCTCTGCAGAGGTGATCCGAGGCCACACTAACAGGATGCTGCAAGAGCCAAGGGGGATTGCCCGCAAGGAAGGGCTTTATCTTTCCGTCCCCTAAAACCCGAAAATCATTCCTCTTCCCGGCTAGCCCAGCTCCATTGAACCCCTGTCGTGTGGACCCAGATTCCAAACACACACTCGGCCAGTGGAGACTCATGTAATTGTGCCTGAATTCTGAGTATTCACGAGGCACCAGCCCCTGGCCTACACAGGGCGCGTCTCCTCTCCAGAGTGACCCCTCAGAGCCCGGATGGCCATTCCACACAAAGGAGAATGGACAGCGGAGCATGGGTCAGAGCCACAGGTGACCACCCCCCGCGAGCAGCTCCGCCTGCCGTGACCATGGTGGTTCTTGTCTGCCACCCGCCTGTTCTGGCCCACCCGTTCTCATCTTGGTGTCACAGCGTCAACATTTCTTGTTCACTTGCTGGAGCTTGAGTCGGCCTCTGGCCTGCACCAGCCGCCGCCTCTCCCTGCCCTTCCTGGGGCTCCTCGCGGTTCAGAGGGAGCTGGAGTCTGCGGGCCGAGCCGAGTGTCTGTGTCTCCGTTCTGGGAGGAGAGGGTGTGGGAGGGCTGACGGGCAGCAAGGCCCAGGGGTGATGCGTTCAAGCCGTAGGGGACACAAGGCCCAGGGGTGATGCGTTCAAGCCGTAGGGGACACGGACGCCTGTGAAGGACCAGCCAGCGCCACGAGGGCCCTGCGGCTCCTGCAGAGCAAGATGTGGTTCCTCGAGTGTGAACGTGTTGCCTTTTTGCCCTAAAACACAAAGCCAGTCTGGTGGGTTTCTTTTCCTAATGGTTGGAACAGTTTGTTGGGGGCGACCGTTGACCGAGCCCCGAGCCTGTCTGGGGAGTGGTCCGGGTGGGTTTGCGCTGACCCCAACACAAGCTGCAGTCAGTTCTTCCTTGTTACGGGACCTTCCCTGGGATGCTGAGCCGAGGCTCCTAGGAGCTCGCCACACGGGTTCTTCCATGTCCCCCTTCCTGTGGCTGTCACCTGTGGGGTTGTGCGTGTGCTGTGGACACGTGTCCAAGGGCTGTCTCTCCAGTACAGTGTGAGGTTGGGGTAGGCCAGCAAAAGCCCAGCCGGGCAGACATTTGGTGGACTGGTTCCTTTTGATGTGGGAAGCTTCGGTGTTCCTTTTATCGGACTTGGTTTCTGTGATTGCTGCACTAACAATGTCACTCCCAAATTAAGTCATATTCAGCAGAGTCTTGAGTAAGCAGTACCTCTGACCCTTTAATTAGGGTTGTGCAGTATGGCCAGCTCCTCCTTGTTTTTAAAAAGAGCGACCTAGCTGGGCCCGGTGGAGCACGCCTGTAATCCCAGCAGCTTGGGAGGCTGAGGCAGGAGGATCACAAGTTCAAAACCAGCCTCGGCAACAGCCAGGCGCCGAGCAACTCCGTGAGATCCTGTCTCTAAATAAAATATAATAAAAGGGCTCGGGGTTCAATCCCCCCAATCAAAAAAAGAAGAGGGCGCCAGAGATGCTTCATAGTCCTCCTGCCCCGTGACGATTTTAAAACCAAGCAGTTTTTCTTTTTTTAATCTAAGAATTTTTTCTTAGTTTTAATATAAAAAAATAGCTTAGGAGACTTCACATAAAAAAAAATGAGTAAGTAACTGCACAAAAATGCCATTCCCAACATTTTAATTGTTCCAACTGAGTCGCTTTGGGAAACTGAATTCCTTCAGCATTATGTGTTCAGGGCTCCCTGAGTTCGGCTGTTCGATAACTCGCTAAAGAGCAGGATGAATAACATAAAGTGACTCCTAATATGGAATCATTTTCATTTCCTGTTTGTTGAAAGATAAATGCTAACACTGTAAGGCTTTTTTTCTTCTTCTTCTTAATTTATTCCTCCCTGAGCCACAAGGGAATAAAGAGAAAGAAAAAAATCAAAAGCGATATGGTTTGCGACTGAGTCATCCAGCCAGGACGAGCCCGTGGAGCTCTGCTCCTTTTGTACCCTACCCTCTTTTCCGTCTGCCCCCATGCCCGAGCCCCTCTCCCCGCAGACAGTCACTTCCCTACAAAAGTGAAGCATTTTCAATTTTGGAATAATTGTCATCTTGCAAAAATTGCTTTCAAAAGGATGTAAGGTGAATTATGTCACATAGAAGGAATGAGCCCCTTCGCATTGCTAAGGTATTATTTTGGACAAATGGTCTAGAAAAGTATTGAAATAAAACTATATGTAGATTCTTTCTCATTCTCTCTCTCGCTCTCCCCTCCCGCTCTCCCTTGCTCTCATTAATCTCTCCTGTATTTTCACTGAGGCTCTCTGCTGTTCTTTTAAATATACCTTTTACCTTTGAGGGGATATATCTCCCACTTTTTAAACCAAAGTTGTCACTGTCTATTCCCTGTGCCCAACTGTCTTGAGTCATCAAAGTCGTTGAGTTAAAACAGTCCAAGCACAAAGGTCGTAGCACCCAATAAGTAGGAAGCCAGTACCTGCTCTATGCATCCAATCAGAAATGTCTCCTGACATCAGAAGACGACTTTCACAGAATGAAGAGATTCAGATCACGATAATGGCGGGTCCCCACTTGGACATGTGTGTGAGCTCACTCTGTCCCTGTGGGGGTGGGAACCGTATGGCAGGTCCCCACGTGAATACGTGAGTGGGCTCACTGTGTCCTGGTGGGGATGGGAACTGTCCACCAGACTTCTGACCCTGCTTCTCTCTGCTGACGTCACCTGCCAGCACCGTCTTACTCTGTGCTACCTGTGAAGAAAGGTGAGCCTAAGTCTGCACAGATGTATCCATCTGTCTGGGTTTCTCCACGACCCCAACAGGTGGGTCTACGAGTCGTAGCTGCCTCACTCACCATCCTCTGAGTCAGGCTGGTTAATAGGCATGATTCACCTGTGTCTTTACCTGGGCCTGCTCCACGGGCCTCCTTGGTGCCGGCAGGTCTGGAACTTCCCAGTTCAAGGCTAATGCATCTGGTCTTGAGAAGTCTCACAGTCACACCTCTGGTTCCTGGGCGTTTGGCAATGTGTCTATGAATTCCAAAAATGAAGAGGCCACGCAGAAGGTTTTCTCATACTTCGTGGAGCCATAGTTACATGGAATGTGTGTGATTTAGTAAAACAGTCATGCATCTGTATTCACAGAGATAACAACCCCTTTTCTTCCTACTAGCTTGCTAAAGACAAAGAACGCCTCCAGGCCATGATGACCCACCTGCATGTGAAGTCTACGGAACCCAAAGCCGCCCCTCAGCCCGTAAGTACTGGCGGACATCAAGGGGGCCATGACACTGAGTGGTCCTCCTCTGCCTCCTGTCCAGGTGTGGGGAGGGGGACAGCCCTGCGGGGGCAGGTTTTCATGCGGAGCGTTTCTGGTGCCCATTCCTGGTGAGGGCAGTGTGCCAGGCATCTGGGGAGACACAGGACGAGTCAGACATGGTCCTTGCCCATGAGGCCCAAGCTACCAGCTCTTGTTTGGAGCAGAGTCATCTTCGCTGAACCCTGGTACTGAAACGCATTCTGAGTGCTTGCCAGGGGCGGGACCATGACAGCAGAAGGAAGAGGCATCTAGGCCAGGCAGGGCCAGGGACAGTGTTGTATTAGTACAGGGACAGGAAGAGTCCAGCCCAAGTGACGGTCAAGCGGAAAGGACCCTGTCGGGCTGCTGCAGCCCGCGTGATGGAGATGCCCGGTGCACCCGGCACCCGGCGGGGGTGAGCCCCATGCAGGCAGGACCAGGGTTCTCCTAGCCCTTGGTTCCCTGTAGAAGGCCTTGAAGGGTGCCATCGCAGCATGAGCGGTGAACACCCAAGTGCGAGGATGATGCCCAAGTGCAGATCCTGCCTGGGACCTTGCTCCTTGGAATGAGCTCTCTTGAGCGGGTGTCTCTCTCACACGCATGTTCCTAAAAACCTCCCGGTAGCTTCAACTGATTATTCAAAATGGAGACAGTGCTTTGCCTCTTGATTTTAAGATTTGTAAAATTTAAAGGTACACTGCCTTTATTTGATTTTGCTGGGAGTCACTGTGTGAAAATTAATTGAGCGTTGACAATCTATAGTTAGTACCAGCAATTTTAATCAATATGCAATGATGCAGCATAATGGCAAAGTATTGGTTTATCTGTTTTGACTGATTTTTTTCTATAAATAAAGCAAACACACACCCATATATGTATGATTTATGGTGATAGAAATAAAACGGAGTCAGACTATTAACCCAGCAAATATGGTAGCCTGCCAAGATGCAGTTGGCAGACAAAATTAATGTCTGAAACAGAGCACATTACTGAGATATAGGACATAAAATCATTAACCACTCTGCGCATCCATTTTTACTAGGAGAGAGTCGTTAGTCCGTGTACTTCCCTGGGATGGCTGTAGGACTGGACGGGCAGGTTACCACCAGGAAGGAAGGAACCACGCCTTCGGCTCTGCCGCTTCCCCAGCCCCTTCTTCTGAGGAGGGTTCTGGGAAGAGTGGAGCCTGCAGTGGCATGGCTGGGGACCCAGGGCACACACTGTCTCGAGCCCTCGGGAGGCCTAGAGATGGCTCCAGTGGAAGTTCTCCCAACGCAAAGGCCTTGAGGCTCTGCACTCGCTGCAGGGGAAGAAGGGGTTAGTGTCTTCTTCCTCCCTGGATTCGGGTCGGTTTGACGCAGCACCGAGGAGAGGACTTGTTGGGTATCACAGGGCTGTTGGGCAGGAGGTGGGATCTGTCCACAGAGAGGAAGGGCAAGCCCGCATGGGCGCCATATAGGTGAAGCCCACGCCAGCTTAGAGGACCCTTGGGAATGGCCCCAGGGACCATGTTAAGCCTCCTGTAAACAGGGAAAAGCAGCAGTGGGGGTGGGTGAACAGGAAAGGATGGTTTGCCTTGATTAGTGTTAAAAAAAAAAAATGTTTTACATTCTAGAAAATTATAACTTTGAAGGGGACCTCCTACTAAATTTATTTTTAACTGCTCTATTGAAAATTCTCTACCCCTCGTCAACATTATCTCTCAGTAGCTCAGCACAGTATTTCTTTATTAAAAGAAATAGGCACGAATATTTTTGACTGAAAAATTAATAGCTTTTGAATTCATACACAGCAGGTTTTCTTTTGCAAAGAAGTCCAATATCGCCGCACAGCACTTCTATAACCATTTATTTAGAGTCCAAGTCAAACCTTTGACAGCTAGCACAGCTCTACAAGGCAGGATAAAGAGCCCCGAGATGTAAACCAACAATGGCCGTCTGTGTGAGGCTCGCCATTGTCAAATACATAGATTGTTTGGATTAGTTTATGTAAATGTACTGTTGTATTACCCTTTGGGAAAAAAAAGATCACATTTGTGTATGAAAAGTGGTTCCCTTCACAGGCTGCTTTATAAATCCCTTATCCTTTAACTTGCATGTAAGAAGTGAAATCGGTGCCTGGCAAGCAGATACTGTGTCACACACTCTGCCGTCCGAAAGAACCTGCCTTCTTTTCATTTATTGGAAAATAGAAAATTTTATTATAGATACCATCTTATAAATCAGGAATTATTAAAATATGTATAGGCGAGGCATTGGGAAATTAATTATAGAAGATAGACGTGTGATGTTTTGCATAAATTTTCACTTCCTTGCCAAGAAGAGCGCGGAGGGAAGGGCACAGCACACACGCCCTTGGCACTGGCGACTCTGGGGGCCCAGCGCTGTGTGGCCACCCATCTTCACGTGCCAAGTGTCCCCACTGGCAGGTAATTAATTTGTCGGGCCTGGTGTTGGAGCCTGGTGTGAGTTTGGGCGCCGGGCTGGTGCCGAGGTGAGCCGCGGGGAGTGGTGTGGCCCTGCCATAGGTTCCGTTCCTGTGGAAGAGCAGCTATGTGTTTCTTTAAGACTCCTTAGTCACCGAGTGACAGAATGCCTTGCTGTAAGTGCTGCCCGCACTGGGTGCCATGGGGTGGCGAGTCTCTCTGCTTGTCCCCAGTTGTCCCGGCTGTCCCTGCCCTTCTTGGACTGCTCTGAGGTCAGCTGGGATGCACTGTCTGAATCCCAGGGTGGAGGTTCTTGGATCCAGGTGGCTAGAGAGGCACTGACCACAGGGCAGTGGCCATGGTGGCGTGGATCTGAGCGGGAGCCCCCTGGGAAGAGAGCCGGGGCCATGGCCACGCCAGTGCCCTGTCTTGGTGTCCCTTTCCTCTCAGGACTGCCCAGGACTCGAGGGTGGCTGTCTTCCAGGGGCATGTCTGCATGGGAAGGAAAGCTCCTCTTCCAGCAGATATTGACGGGGCAGGGAAGGCGATGGCCGCTTGCCCTTGGTGTCCAGGTTCAGTGCTGCCTGAGAGCCTGAAAGGCGGACGGGTAGAGACCTCTGGGAGGGCAGGTGCGCAGGCAGAGGGGGAGGCGGGGTTCCTCCTGGGATGAAGGCTTGGGAGCGTGTGGCCGCGTCCTCGGGGTGCACGCTGGGAGGGGAGGCGCTCCCTGCTCTCCGGTTGCTCCTGCGTGGAAAAGGGTGGAGAATCCCTGGGGGTGGCCGCAGGCTCTCAGGCTGGGCACCCGTGGGTGGCGAAGGGCCACCTTAGTGCAGTGCGGATGTTTTAAAGGACCTTCCCTTCCCAGAGAAGGCGGAGCTGTGGCCAGAGCCCTAAGGAAGTTCCAACCTGCCCAGGCACCGCCCCCCGCCACCCCCACCCCCACCCCCAGTGTCCCTGCTCACTGCAGGGAGCACTGGCTGCTGGACAGCAGCCACAGAAACCCGTCGGTTAGGGCTTGATGAAGTTGTTACGGATTTCTTTAAGAAGACCTTTTGCTGTCATTGTGGCAGGGAACACCATAAATCCGGTTTTATAACCTGGGACAGAGCAGTGTGCCCTGCAGAGCTGCGCCCGAGGGCCCCCCCAGGTGGGGAGCAGCATTCTCTCAGATTGGGTGGGCGAGGGACACCGTGCTGGTGGCAGGGCCTTCCCCTCGGAAGTGCCGTGAAACATGTTTGGAGAAGCAGGCCCGGTGACGTTTTTTGTTACCCGTTTACTTTAGCCACAGCAGTTGGGGCTGTTTGGAAATGGCTTTTAGCTACTATAAAAACTAAAGTACCCCCTCCCCACCAAGCAAAGGGCCAGCACACCCTGGGGGAGCGGCAGGTGGCACGGGCTGCCGTCCTGGGCCCTGCGGCTCCATGCTGCTGTGTGGACTGTGTCCATCCAGGTCCTGCCCGCTCACTCGGGCCTGCGAGTCTTGGTTGTGTGTCCTGCTTGCTGCACCGTAGCAGGCCTCTGCCACGGGAGGACAGCGAAGGCTCTGGACAGCCAGCAGCTGCCCCCGTGCCCTGCCGCCTGGCCTGGCACCATTGGGCTCCGATTCAGTGACTCCTGCCTGCAGACCTCACTGCTGTTCAGGCAGGATTCGGCCAGTGGAACCAAGGGTCCCCAGTGTGCGTGTCCCTCAGGCTTCGGTTCCAGGTCCCCCTTTGTTCTCTGAAGCTGTTTTCCAGTGAGGCAGCAGCATAAACAAGCCAAAGGGCCTCTGGACGTGCCCACAGCAAGGCCTCTGTCTGGAGCTGACATCAGCGGTCTGCTTATTTTCTTAAGATGGCGTGACTCATCTTCCTTGCATAGGAGAGGAGGTCTCTGGGTGAAAAGTGAAGGTCCATCTTTTCAAGAACTGGGTAGCTGAGAGACCTCCAGGGCAGTGCTGTGGCCAAGGAGGGAGAAGAGTGCTAGGGGCACACTCACTCTCCTCTAGCAAATCAAACGCTGCAGCCATTTTAAGTGACAGAAGAATTTAACTTTTGGCCAGAGTTTCAAAGAGATTATCTCTGCTGAAATCATCCGTGATGGAAGCCTGCCATAGAGAGAAATTCAGAGTTACTAACTTTTCTAAACATAGCAACTTCTTTTTAAATAGAAAATGAACACAATAAGAAAAATGGGCTTTCCACCAGGAACAGACCCCCCCCCCCCCAGCCCCATCCCTTCCTGCTCTGTGCCCTGGGGCGGGGCAGGGGAAGCTCTCCTAAGACCTTAGCTGAGATGAGAACCAGGGAGCCCAGGTGCCTGCTTTCCTGATGAGGAGGGGTATCTCCTGGTGTGCTGGGCCACTCGCCCACGGCTGCCGTCCTGGTCCCCTTCTTCAGAGCCTCTGTGATGGACGGTGCAGGTTAGTCGGGAATCCATCCCTCCAGCGCTGCCTTCTCTCCTGGCCTGTCGCTGAGATGGTCTCCTCTCAAGACACGGCTGGACCAAGGTTTCCCAGTCGAGGAACTCGCGGTGCAGTGGAAGGGTGGCCATGTCACTGGCTGCTGGTCCGGCTTCTGCTGGTTTTGAGAGGCAGAGCACCCTCCATCTGGAGTGCACGCTTTTTTGTTCTCCCTTCCCTCTCAGCTACATCATGTTTAATTTGAAGTCTGGGCTCCTTTGGCAAATTAGCAATTAGAGCGATTTTGTGGGGATATGTGTATGTGTCATTAGTTTCCCTGCAAATTAATAGCAAGGGTAGGGGTCAGCCGGGAATTTTCCACTCGACGGCAGCTCCTCCACGCAGACCTGGTTCTGGATTTTGGATGGCCACAGCTGCTTTCGCCACCCTCTTCCTCTAGGAACTGCCTTTTAATTAGTTTACCTCATAGCCATCATTACAAACATTACTGCCACCCCTCCTTGAAATAGAATTACTGTTTCTACAAAATATCCCAGTGACATCTTGCACCACCGCGCACCGATGGAGGGGTCACCCGATGCAGCATTTAATCATTAGATCACCTCCATCCGCGTCTCCTAATTAGAGTCCTTACAATACATTTTTATCTGGTAATTAGCTGAGATTGGCTGCTTCCTCTGCGGCTTATTAGAGCCAGCCCAGCAGTGGGTGTGAATCACGGTGTCATTTGTCAAGCCTGGTAAACCCTCTCTGCTCCCTTCTGGCTCGCTGTTGATTTCCACTTGCTACCCACACTCAGAAGCATCCAGAAAATTCCACCTGTACCTCTTTCTTGGTGCGCTGAGCTAACCTGGAGGGATGTTGTTTCTCTTTGTTGCCCTCTGTGGTGGGATTGGTGCAGGTCTTAAGAGCTTTGCAGGAATCGAGTCCTTTTTGCATCTGGTGTCACTGTGTGGGGCTCCTCTACTTTTCTTGGATGTTAGCACCCAGAGGGTCGCGCCAAATGTTCATGAGGTTCGTGCTGGGTGGTTAAACTAGGAGAGAGGCTTGATGACCTTCCCGAGGGGGTCGGGAGGAGTGTGTATTTCCCAAGGACATTGGTTTTCTTGCTGTGTTTTAAGCAGTGTGATTAGAGTGATGGTCTTAACCTGAAACGTGAAGTGGAGAAGCACAGTGAGTCAGAACTGCGAGTGTCTGGGCTATGGAAGCGCTCTGAGGCCAGCGGCTGTGCCTCCTTCTGCCTTGCAGGCGCTCAGTGACGTTCCCAGGCTTTCACTGGATCTTGTCAACATGGGCATAACAGGAAGCAATGTTTTTCCCATGCACCAGGTGCAGGAGGTTGTGCAGAGGGTCGAGAGCTGTATACATGTGTGGTTTCACTTTGGTCCAGGCCGGGAACATGGACACTTGAGGTTCTTTCCCTAGGCCTTGGTTTGCTTCTCTGTCACGTGTGAGTAACAGCACTGTGGGTCTTGACGGCAGTACGGGAACTCGGTGGAAGCACCCCAAATCAAACCTCAGTGGAACTCAGTGGAAGCACTGGGGACGGCTGTCTAAAGTGCGAGTTGCTCATGTGGCCAGGACCTTCCTGAGTCCCGGCTGAGCAGCGTCTGCGCGACAGAGATGTGTATCTGTGAGCTCTGTGCACTCCTGCCCTGGCCCGTGGCTTCCCCTGGCGTTTTGCATACCGCCTTGGCTGTGGTCAGTGGTGAAAGGCAGGGAGAGGTCAGGCTGAGTCCCTGATCCTGTGGCTGCCCTCTGCACTGTTAGCTCTGGTCTGTAAATGCGGGTTACAGTGTCACCATTCCGGCACCAGAGAGGGCAGCTGTTCTGCCCGTGCCCAGTGGCTGGGTGAGTAGCAGTGGTAGCCTGTTCTGCTCGGGCATTGGTGCAGGGGTGTCCTGTGGCTTGCTGAGTTGACAATCAGACAGACCAATAGCAGACACTGAGCTCAACCTTGCAGCTCCCAGCAGCGGGCCTGTATTTCCCGTTACTGTTTCTTTAACGATATCATGGGATCTGTGTTTGTTTCCCTTGGAACGCCCTGGACACATCAGATGGGGTTCTCAGGGTCTCGTTCATTACCAGCGTAGGAGCAAAGGCTGGGTCTTCTGCACACTTGGGAACGCCCTTGGGATCCGCTCTATTAGCATCTCAGGGGAATCAGTTTTAGTACCTTTCACAGATAATCCTTGTGCCCAAGACTGACTGTACTCATGGTGAAATGGACTTGTGGTGGGTGAGCTGGAATCTGGCTGGAGTGTGCACCTGGGGGAGGCACTCTCTGAGCCAGCACCGCAAGAGGCTGGGGACCACCACGCTCTCTCGCATCGCGGGACTTCGTGTTTCTACCCCACCCAGAGTTTGTCACAGGTAGATGGGAGTAAAGGAAACAGAACAGGGTGGGTTCACTGCCCCCCCCCCACCACCACTACTTCCAAGTAAAATTCCCTTGGGAGTACACAACTTGAAGACAAATCTCTCCAGAAGTCCTGGGTCTCCTGGGCCGCCATCTTTTTCAATGAACAGATTCCAGCCCTGGGCTCGTTAGTTAGAAAGCTTTGTGCGCAGTGTTCACTGAAGGGGATTCTCTGCCGAGGCTGGGAAGCCAGGCGGCCTTCTGGACCTGTGCTCGGTGGTGGACTCGAGTGTCGTCCTGCTGGCCGGAGGACGGGTGTGAGCCTAAGAGCCCATTTAATTTAAGTCAAAGCTAATCTGAAGAAAAGCACAGCTCTGCAGTTGTGCTGGGAGCTCAGGTCCATCCCACCTGGTGTGGTCCGCCAGGGCTGTGTTTCACCCTTTGACGGTCTCAAGGATTGACCAGGGTTGGCTTAGGTTGCTTGGCTGGGCCACCCTTTTTGAACCTGTGCATGATCACTTTCCAGCCTTGGGGATACACCTGGCTCCTGGCCGTTCACAAGCATCTCTGCGACAATAGTCACAGGAGCCCTCGAGTGAGCAGCGTCCCTCTAAATGGTCTTCTCCCCACAGCTCAATCTGGTGTCCAGCGTCACGCTCTCCAAGTCCGCCTCTGAGGCTTCTCCACAGAGCTTACCTCATACCCCCACGACCCCCACCGCTCCCCTGACTCCCGTCACCCAAGGCCCCTCTGTCATCACCACCACCAGCATGCACACGGTGGGACCCATCCGCAGGCGGTACTCGGACAAGTACAACGTGCCCATTTCTTCAGGTAAATACTCCATGTTGGCCTTGCTTGGGGTTGTCGCCTGCAATTGTTGCCGAGCGGCTCCTTTTTTAAAAAGTGATGATTAATAGGACAATGATTCTTATTTAGCAGATATTGCGCAGAACCAAGAATTTTATAAGAACGCAGAAGTTAGACCGCCATTTACGTATGCATCTTTAATTAGGCAGGTAAGTAAACAATGCAGCATGCGAAATCACATACAAAGGTGTGTGTGTACAGTACATGGATGTATTTATTGTATTGATGAAGTAGATTTAAAACCGTTTAGTATGCCACATGCTAAAACCTTTTCTATAAGGTTTTTAAAAACTGCAATATATAACATAATTGCTTTTGATTAAGTATTACAATACGATGTGATTATTAGGAAATTCATTTCACACAACAGTGAAAATGAGCCTGTTTAAAGATGGCAAGTCAATTATCACAAGCTACAGTAATCTCTGATCCCTGGAATTAATCTGAGCTCTAAATAATTACTGAGCTTTAATCAGCTAGTGAAATGTTTTGCATTTCTCTTTGATTCTGCTTTATGAATGACTAATAAATTAATATTTCTGTACGGAAACAGAAATAAAAACTCAAAACAATTAGATAATTCCATTTTGAGTTTTGCTATTGAACTGTTAAATACAACCATTAATCTTAGATCATTCTGTGAAACAAACCTTTCTTAGGCTCTGAATGTCAGTGATTTTATACTTTCAGGAACCTGGTTAGTGACAATTCTTGCTGATGTGGTCATAAATTACCTTCTTCCCGTAACTTTTGCTTCGCAGGCCATTCTCGAATCTCCAGAAAAGCAGCTCACGCTGAATGAAATCTATAACTGGTTCACGCGAATGTTTGCTTACTTCCGGCGCAACGCAGCCACGTGGAAGGTAAGCCTTCTCCGGGCCTAGAGCACAGTGACTGGGCTACTGGAGAGTCGCAGAGCATCCGCTCTATAGGAATAGATGGTAAAAGGGTTGCTTTGTGGTCGAGGTGCTCAGATGGAAGGTTCCCATGACTCGGGCCGCACAGGTGTGAGTGGCCCTCCAGGGAGACCATCTGTCTCTGGTTGCCCCATACGGACACTGCCAAAGGACTTACGCACACCTCCCTCTCTTAGGTGTTCAGCCTCAGCCAGCATTTGCAGAGAGGCCGGGGCAACCTGTTTTTCCAACATGAGGATCCTACCTGCCTGGAGGTCAGGCAGCCCTAACCTCCATTGGTTGGGTCAAAGCTCACCAACCCAAGTACTTGCAAATGGTGCTGATTAGAGAGAAAGCACTGCTTTATGAAGCCGGTCTTGGGTAGCTCTGAAGGGAACAGACTGTCTCGCACAGGGTCACGTTGTTCATAGGGACCCAAGGAAGAAGAGCAGCTTCTGAGGTGCATTATGACACCGTATGTGGCACACATCAGCAATGCTTGGGGTCCATGGCTCACCCCCTCCCCTGTTGGTTCAGGGCTCCCATTGGGACATAATCCCTCGTATTAGATTAGGCCCCCTTTTCAATTTCCTGGTGCCTGTTGCTCATAGAAGACAGCTAATACAGTCTAACAGGCATCTCTGTACCTGGAATCTCATTGATCCCTGCAAAATAGACTGTTTGATGGAAACATTTTAGGATTTTTACATATCACTCGTCGAAACACGACGGGATTTATGGGTTGCAGGGAAAACTTGCTTTACTTGATATGTATCCCTTCCCCTCTGCTTTCTTAATTCTATATGGGAGGAAAGCAAAGCCAAACAATGTATCTTTGATAAATTAGCATTTTAAAAAAAATTGTACAGTTAACTCATGAGACTCGTGAGTGCCGAAGGGAACTTTTCGTTCAAAATCTTACCTTTCTTTCACTTGACTTGGGAGATAAAACACAAAGGATCTTGAGCCCCAAATGCTTTTAAAAATTTAGGGAGTTAGAAGCATGAGGCAGACATTTTCTTCAAATTGCCTTTTATAAATTACCAAATGATGAAATTTAAAAACAGTTACCAGTCGTGAATATAAATTCAAGCTCAGATCTAACTTTTTCATTTTTGCAAAGTGCAGGAAGAGGTGTCATTAATACAAACAGCCCTAGATGAAGTACTTAATGCCTCAGATATGCAGACTGTTCCCTCTGTGAGCTCTGATGAAATGCCCAGATATCAGGTTAGGACCCAAGAGAGCGCTTTCTTTTTCGAAAACTCTCGGTTACTTGTTGCTCTCTGCCTCAGTGTTTGTGCGGTCCTGGAAAACGGGGCTTAGGTTCTGACTGGGTTGGGCAGTCAGGCGCACAGCAGCCTGTGATGTGGGTTGGTTTCCCATGCTCTTTTTTAAAGGGAATTTGGCTTCATGTATTTAGCGTCTCTTCCATGTTGTTTGAGGAGACTGCAGCAGACGGTCAGTGTCATGTGCTCGGTGGCACTTTATGAGCAAAGAAATTTTTCTCCCCCAGCCTAACTGCACCATGCCACGTGACTTCAGGGAGCTTTTAGGCAAACCTATCACGATTTTTTTGAATCAAGGATAGCCTTTGATAGTGTTAACCCTCACGCTAGTCAATACGTCTGGGAGTTTACCCTGTGGATGCTCCTTATGAGCAGGCCATGTCACCATCCCACAAAACAGCTTATTATATTCAACATATACCATATCAAAAATGATTCTGGCTTGAATTCACCGATTATGATCAGCAAGAAATTAAGGATCATTTGGAGAGCGCATTTTCCAGGTGGTGGGAACGATGGCCTTACCAGAACAAAGGGGCTTGGGAAGAGGGGCTCTGCCACCCCAGCTGAGCTACTTCCTCCATGACAGGGGTTGCTCGGTACTTACTCGGGCCCAGGAAGGGTCATGGCTCTTGAGTGGAGACCTGTGTGCACGGTACATTATACACATGCAAAGTCTCCATCAGAAATGACTCCTAACATGGGAAAGAAACCCTCATCTGCAGGCGTGTAGCCTTTCTCCCCTGACTTGATGGGCAGCTGCTCTCGTTTACAGTGGGGAAAGTAAGGTGCTGCTCACCCCTGGGGTTTAGTTCACCTGATCCTCTTGGCCTTCAAGGTGATGCCTCAGTGGTAACAACCTATTAAGAATCTTCCCTCATCAACTTGTAGAGGCTCTGAGAAGGCAAAGCTGCCCTGGACTTCACAGCGTTTCATCATGTAAAGAGGATCGTTTCAAGCTCAGAGTTTCTTATTTTGAAGTCACGGTGACACTATTAATCCAGAGCCACTTGTAGGGCCTGTTTGGGGCTCCTCCGCCTTTTCTGGTTGGATAGTGCCAGAGGGGAGACAGAAGTGCAGTTAAGCCAGTCTCCCTGGAGCACAGGAAGGACCTCCCGGGGTGGGCGGCAGCTGGGGAGTGGTGTTCCCGTGGGGACTGTGTGGCTGAATGTACTGTTTCTGGAGTCTTTTCTTACAGAAATTGTAAATGTTCTCTCTCTTATACCTGCTGCAGAATGCAGTGCGCCATAATCTTAGTCTTCACAAGTGTTTTGTGCGAGTAGAGAACGTTAAAGGGGCAGTGTGGACGGTGGATGAAGTAGAGTTCCAAAAGCGAAGGCCACAAAAGATCAGTGGGTACGTCCACCACGTTTGACTTCTGCGCCCAGCTCGGACTGTGCTAACTCGTGTGACGTAGAGGCTTTGGCTGCGAGACGCTGTCAGACCACAGAACTGGTTTCACGTTGTCTCAGTCAAGGGAAGCAAAAAAGCATTTCACCCTCCTGTCGTGTGCCCCCGCCAGCCCCGCCCTGCTTGCTGGTCTGTCGCATCCCATGCTAGCGTGTAGGTGCAGCGCATATTAACCCTCACGAGCCATTCGCCTATGCTTATCGCGTTTTATTTTCTTTCTCCTGTCCCCTGTACTGGATGTGTGTCCCCCCCGCCCCGTCCCCTTTCCGTGCCACTCCATCTCCTTTGCCGCTGCTCCTATCCCAGGGTGCCATTCGCACCAACCTGTCACTGCATAAGTGCTTTGTCAGAGTAGAGGATGAGTCTGGGTCCTTTTGGACAGTTGATGACGAAGAGTTTAAACGTGGCCGCCATAGTCAACGAGGCCGTCCTCGCAAGTACTGCCCCGCTGCAGACTCTGACGAGCTTGTCGCACAGTAAGAGCCTTTACTTGCTTTCCTTTTGTTTTCTGCTGTGGCTTTGGCTTTGCATGGTTGACCCATCCCATGGAGTCGTGCATTTCACCTCGTAGCAGTGCCGCAGCTTCCTGCCAGGGAACTGGCTTGTGTGATGCGTCCATGTCCTCTCGCTTCTCTGGATCGCCAGTGCCTTGAACAATGCTTTTTTGACGTCTTTGATGCAAATTATTAATTGTATTTTGACTCAGCAGCTGACTATGATTTATTTTTTGTGGGACCCATGATTTCTACAAGTAGAAAAGTCATTTAATGGGACAAATTTCTTATTTGCTTATCATAACGTAGATAGTAGCGAGCGTGGCGGGGACTTGATCAGGTGGCCCCTACCATGTTTCCTTTAAGGTGCGAACACGGACAGCTTCCTTTCCCCTCCGTGTGTGCCGTGTCATTTTTTAGTAGTTCTGGGAGAAAGTCCAGAGCTTTTCTTAAAGGAGTTCCTGGGCTTCCTGCTCACAGGCATAGCACCAGGCCCACACCCAGCTGTGCCATAGGCTTCTGCCCGGCCCCCACAGGCATTGTCTGTAGGGCTTAGGTCCTTAGGATGCTTCAGAGTCCAATTCTGCCCAGGGCTTGCTTCCCAGCAACTAAAACTTTGCAGAGAGATCTCGGGAGGGAGTCCCCACGTCTGGTAAGCCAGAATTTTATACCCCCTTGCCTTGAACGGCATAGGCTATCGCAAGAAGTATGTGCACAGCCCGGCTTTCCGAGTTGGTTGGTGGGGGAAGTTTCTAATTTGCAAGGCTACCAGCAAGCTTAAAACGGAGCTAGGAGCTCGGGGCTGGACTGCAGTTAACTCTGAGTCTCTGTTTTTCTCACGCAGTAACCCTTCCCTCATTAAAAACATGCAGAGCAGCCACGCCTACTGCACCCCTCTCAATGCGGCTTTACAGGTAAGATGGATGGCCCTCCTGAACACGCGGCTGAGGCACACGTCTCCCACACTCATTGCAAAATATATTAGCCTCGCTCTAATTAGATATTAAATTTTAATTCCGTTAAACTTTTTTCTTAAGTGCACAAAGCATTGTACTCCCTGGAGGCACACGCATCGGGCTGCTTCAGCATTAGCAGGATGCTTAGCATTTTGAATATTGTGGCAAAAAAATTAAAAGTTCACTTATTAATATTTATCAGCAGTATCATAATTTCCATCCTCTTATTTCAGAATTTCACTTGAGGCAAAAATACCACAAGTGTAATTACTCTAGCACAGCTATTAGTGTGCGGGATGATAGGCCACCGCATCACATGACCTTCTATTGTTCACGGGTTTGAAGAGAAAGCTGAGCTTTGTGTCCCTCCTCCTCCTGGACAGCCGCAGCATGCTCTCTGCTTTGTGGGGAGCATCCGGGTTTGTTTGGAGAGCAGCCTTGTCGAGGCTGGAGGCCCCACATCCTCCTCTTCACACGGGATGCCTCTCTTTCCTTCATCCTTGGACGATGATGGAGGATACCTTACGTACATCAGGTGGGCGTGAATATTGGGAGCCTGTCCCTCCTCCTTTCCACTAGCACCAGTTTTTCAACACAAGAATAGTGGGACAGTATCATTTTTAAAAAATTACTAGAGCAACATAATGCATGGTATACAATTTATAAAATAGGACAGCAGAATCCACTACAGAAATAAAACATGGGACTCGGGACAGATTGCATTATGCTCTGAAAAAGGAAGTAACTAGGGGTAACGGTAAAGCTCGTATTTATAGATTGAGCCGCCCCGAGTGCCTGGGAGGCAGACGCCGGGTACTGATGGACTTGGGCACCATTGCTAAGCCCATCCACTCTTGTGGCAGAGGTGCCAGTTTCATAGGTAGGAACCTTTAAGTCTATATTAACAAAAAAACATTTGGACCCCAGCTCCCAAGGGGACATGAACTGCTGAAAAAACCCTGAGGCAGGAGTCAAGTGTGTCTAACCTGGTGGGATGGTCAGAGGCTCAGCTCGCCTCTGCAGGTCTTGGAGCCCAGCACAATCAATGCTTACCATGGAGGGTGAGGCATTACTTCCAGGAGCACATTCTTGCAGCCATTTCAGTTTTGACTTGACTTCTGAGGCATCTTGGCTATCACTGACCCTGCAACTGGGGATTCTCCAGACACTGGACTGCCGTGCTGTCTCACGGGGAGTGAAGAGGGGTATCCCGCTGCAGCTTGCAATGCTACTAGTAATTTTGCCCACTGCTCTGGCCCAAAAAGTCAACACGCTATATTGCAAGAGACCCGTTTGAGTAAAAGTACTTAATGAAAATTACTTAACAATAGGACAGTGGGGAATGGGGATCACAATAAGTTTACCACACTAGGAAGGAAAACCAGCGTGTTCCCCCAGAAGTGGAGGGCAGTGGGATGGGTGTGCCTGCGCTGCGAGTGCACCCCTACCACGCGCTCTCCGCCTCTGTGGTTGGCTCCTACCTTCTCAATGCCAGGATGTCCACCGGAGCCTGCACTCCTGCATGAGAGGCCAGTGGGAGCTGCCATGCTGGATTGATTGTCTAGGATGGAAAGCCAGGCATGGGGCAGTCTGGATAAATCTTGGTGTAATTACCAACTGCCAATTTTTCAGTCTGTCCCCTTGAATAAAATGAAAAGCCACCATGTCACAGCCACCCCCCAGTGAAACCAGTGCAGGGGACAGCATCCACCCAAGGGTTAGGGTAGCATTTTCCCATTTCTACTTTTTTTTCACTGACACTCATTTGGAGTGATTTTGTCACCTTTAATATTGCTTTTCATAGGCACCAAACATAAATGAGATTTAAAACTTCCTTTTGCCAGATATTGTTCTTTCATCCTAAAATCACAGGTGATTGGCGTGAGTCCAAAAGATGACTCAAAACCCATTAAAACAGGAATGGTGGGGGGGGGGGCTAAAAATTGATTCCAATTCTATAATCCCTTCCTTTTCTATAGGATCTAAGAGGTAAGTGTTTATGGAAGTCCTCATAAATGTGAGCGATGCAGCCAGAATAATCTGATCAGATCTCTGATATCCAATAGCGGAGTCATCAAAATGGATAAAGAAATGAAAATTCCATTATATTCCACTATGATCTGGAAATATTCAGTTTCTCTTGAAAAAAAGGCATCAGATATAAACCTCCCATTAGACAGCCCATGGCCACTGCAGCACTGGGTTGGGCAGGGCCAGGACTTCTTCCCCAGGGCCTCCCTTGGCGCGTGCCCCAGGCGCTATGGAAGCACAGCCCCCCACCTCTTTGACACCTGCGCTCCAGTTCCCTAGCAGCCATCTGCAGGGTGCCCCCGCCTGCATCTTCACGCGCGCTCTCTCATTGGTGGCAGGCTTCGATGGCGGAGAACAGCATACCTCTATACACTACCGCTTCCATGGGCAACCCCACCCTGGGCAACCTGGCCAGTGCCATGCGGGAGGAGCTCAACGGCGCCATGGAGCACACCAACAGCAACGAGAGCGACAGCAGTCCCGGACGGTCCCCTCTGCAAGCCGTGTGAGTACTGCCCGCCCCACACGCGGCTCCTCCTCTGGGCGCTGCGTACCTGTCCAACAGTGTCCGGAACCCAGGTAGACAACTGTGTTCCTAGAAGAGTTGCTGCCATCCCTGTAAACACGGTTGGCGCTGCACGCAGCAGTGCATGGGACACGTGGTGCGCATCTGGCCATCGGTTGAGACACGCTGTTCAGGTGGAGCCCTGGACCTAGCGGAGAGGAGAGAGGTGGTTTACTTGGTTGGGTGAGAACTGGAATGGCAAACGTGACGCCGCAGCCTTATTACCGAGCATTAATGATGGCACAAATGAAAGGCGGCATGATTTATAGATTGCTCTTAAAATATCAAAAGGAAAATTAATAGGAGCATTACGGCAGCAGACGGAGGGTAATGAGTGCACACACGACAGGGGAAGGGGCGGCCGGGGGCCTCGCCGAATGGGAACGGCAACAGGCCCAAGCCACCCAGGGGCTCTGCTGTCCCCAGGGGTGGGGGGCTGAGTGGGGAGAGTTCTAAACCAGAGAAACGAAACCACATGACTGCAGGTGGCTGGAGCTTCAGAATGACAGTCTCTCCCTTTCAGCGAGCTTCCTTTGCGGCCCACTTGAAGGGGACTCGATGTTGGCAGCATTCTGGTGGCTCCCAGAATGGGCCATCTGCCCCCACATCCATGAGTTACTGACCAATATTGTATTTTAAGATGGTTTGAGTGACAGGAGAAGTTGTGACCTGTAGCAGTTAGCCACAGAAGGAACTGGCATCTAATGACCAGCGTCAGTGCCCTCTGCCATGGTAACTGCAGGACGTGGGGGTCAGAAATGTAGAGTCCTAGCGTTTGCATTTTGTGCCCAAAGTGCTCTGGCAAGGCTGGGCAGGAGCAGCTCTTCCCACCCGCTGCGCAGTGTTTGAGGAACGTTGGTCCCTCACACGGACACTGCTGCACTTCACCCTTCTAGAGCAGCCTGCTGTTTGAGTCGATTGTTACCACACTCGTCTTCATCTTTCAGTCATGACAGGAGGGTTTACGCAGATATTAAGAAATTCAGAGCAGTTATAAATTGGCGTACAAGCTACCTCAAGGAATGCCCATTAGAACAAAAACTCTGAACCTGCTGTTTCTCAACATCTGCACAAACTCCAACGTTTAGTTCATAAACATTCCTGTAACTCAGTGCAAAGAAAAAGAGATCTGATGACGCTTCCCGGGCTGGGTTGAGTTGAGAATGGTGCTCCCTGTCATGCAAGATCAAGCAACTCCAAGTTAACCCCAGTACTACCAACAACCACTTTTCCCCAGTCAGCACAACTCTTGTGAAACGAAGGTTTCAACTGCTTGGAAACAATCCCAGATCTGTAGGAAGAGGTGTTGCTCAGATCTCGGGTGCCTGCGTTCGCTGGGTGTGCCTGAGTCAGCAGTAGGTCCTGTACCGTCCCTGCCCTGGGCACTCTGTGGGACCCTCTTGTTCCCATTAAGAGAATCCCATAGTGACATGTTTACTCTTGCCCAGTGTGCATTTCCGTGCACTGAGGCGGATTGTTTTTTAAACTGTTCCAGTCTATTGGAATAAATCAAGTCATCAACTTTACGGCAAGGCTTAGAGGACCTTGTGGGGACAGCAGTCCAGCTGATGCCTGGTGTTGAAAGCAGTCATGAGCCTGTGGATGTAGGGCATTATACTCTTATCCTCAGAGGAAGTAAAGAAGTTGCAAAGCAGAATTGGGTTGTGCCATGTGTCCCCACCAGATCACAGTGCCTGAACCCCAGCCAGCCATGTCCCAGAGGGGAGGCACAAAGGAATTGCTCAGACGGAAGAGAAAGCCCAGGTCTGCACCTGCACTTCACCGTTCAATGGAAGAAGATGCTGAAGGTGCACACCAGCTCCAGAAGACACGCGGGCATGAGTGTGAGGCCTGGGCCTTAGCGGCTGGGTACCTGGCAATCTCTACCTCTGCGTTTCTGTTCCAAGAGCGCTGTAGCCAGCGCCTGCCAGTTCCAAGAAGCCCTGTATCTAACCTGGTTGTGGTCAGGCCATCTCACAGTGGGTCTGATGGTTAACATTTGCCGCAGACCTGCTGTGTGTTACTCGGGTAGAACCAGCAGGGATGCCCTGTCTCTGGGGAAGTAAATGCTGAACTTGGGGGAAACTGTCTTCTCTGATTCTGTGAGCTGTTTTGTGGGGACCTTTCCTGTTTCTGGGTCTTTTTTCTGTGGAAGTCTACAGCGACAAGGCAAGACCCCCAGGAAGGCCCCCACGGTTCCTTTCCTCACTCCCCCAACCCAAAGTTTTCTATGACTTCATCAGATTCTGCTTTACAAACTCAAGAAGATTAATATCTCTGATACATTTTCCTACTGCGAGTCTTTTATGGTAAGTCTGGACAGTGACGTTTGCGGCACAGTACAGGGCTAACAAGCCTCGTCCAGCGGACGCTCCAAGGAGACGCGATGTTGAGGAGGTCTCCACAGTGAAGATGCGGAACAGGAGCCTGCACTGTCGTCAGCGGCGTGCAGCTTGAGGGGGCCTGCGCTGGACCCCAGCCCACCACGCCGCAGACCAGCTTTTAAACATAATGCTCGATCCTGACGAGATGGAGTCTCGATGGGCTTAGCCCCTTTGGAAATTAATATCACAGTAAATCACAGGAGCCATAAAGATGTTTTAGCCTTTGCTCCAACAATTCCATTCTTAGAAATTTATCCCAAGGAGGTAAATCAGCAGAAGTAGAGAGATTGCATAAAAAAGTCACCATTTTTATCCATCAAACAGTTGACAGGGAGGGACTAGAGACGGCCTCAGGTAGCCTTAACAACCGTGGCTGAAAAGCTAGCCAAAGTCACAGCGCTCCTGCAGTGTCTGTGAGGCCCGAGCAGCCAAAATGGACCTTGAGTAGGGTCCAGCTAAGGACATCCATCAGTGTACTGGATTCTCGGCAGGAGAATACAGGGAATCCCACCAGGCAGACGCTTGGTTCACTGCCCTGAGTGTCGCTGGGAACCCTGCATTTTGCACTGGGTCGTGCACATCATAGAGCAAGGCCTGGGTCCTACGCAGACAAAGAGGACTCCTAAAAAACAAGACACGTAAAATGCAGTATGGCAACACTTAAGCCTCGTTTCATTTTGGCAGTGGTCCTAAAGAATAGGGGCATGGTTTTTTAAAGCTCTTTATCTGACATCTTGTCCCCCAACCTCTCTGTATGCCATGCTGATTTCAGAGCCGATTGATTCTGAAGTCTGCATCTTCGTCTTCCAGGGCAGTCCCAAGCACACCTCTGTTTGTTTTTAAATGGTTCTGGGGGCCTTTGTTGCACACAGCATCAATTATTTAGGGAGCCAACCATCCCAGCACGACCTCTCCTTACTAACACTTGATAACGTCAATTAAAACAAAAATCCTCCCTTCTGTGCAGCCAGTCCCAGAGACGGGGAGTTTTTTTTAACTTGAATGGTTCTTTTACATATCAAAAGCCCAGCAACAGAACGTAATTTGTATTTGCAAAGGATCTGTTGTAAATATGATTTACGAACAACACTTCTCAATTGTTATCAGAGTGGCTTTGTGTGATCACCCCAGTCCCCTTCGGGTGAACCAAGCTCCGGTCTATAATGAGAAAGTTGGCAGATCTCATCGAGGCCCGGTGTCCCCGTGGCCGCTACCAGCAAGGCCGCGTGTTTTGCCTTGTTTATGGCTGACAGCACTACTCTGATTGTGGCCCGCTTCCTTATCGTACTGTTGTGTGGAGCGAGACTTCTCCTCTCCGTTTGTGTTTCCTGGCAGGGCTTTTCTTGCCTTATTGACAGTTTGTAAAAATATGCATTAATTTGGAGTTTCAAGCATGTATCATGGTGTCTCTGTGCTGTGTTTGCTTGAAGTTGATTAATGATAGGACCTTGCTTGGGGTCGTCCTCTGGAGAGTTCTTTCACAGGTTCTGCATGTTAACTAGCGAAGCAGAGCACACAGCAAGCCACGATTAGCCCCATCTCCTGCGCTCTGGTCCCCACAAACCATCGCTGTTACGGATTCCCATTTCAGGGAATGATTTGAATGGTGGTGTTCCCCCACCTCCACCCCGGGCCCCACGCGGGCCCATTGTCGGACACTCGGGCTGGGGGACATTAGAAATACAAAGTCTCAGGCCTGCCCCCAGACCACCTGACTCACTGCTACATTCTAATAAGGTCCTGGGGACTGAGAGTACCATAGAGCAGGACACAAGCCCCCGGTCCGAGACCAGCTGTGTCAGAGTGGCACCACAGAACGGCTTTCCACACGGTCCAACATGGGAGCCGCTGGCCACACGGGGCCCCTGAGCGGCAAAAAGCTCCCATGTGGGACAGTGTGGGGTCAGGGTGCGCCAGGCCCCACGTGCCCTCTGACCCTCTCTCTATTTCCCCAGGCATCCTGTGCACGTCAAAGAAGAGCCCCTCGATCCCGAGGAAGCTGAAGGGCCTCTGTCCTTGGTGACGACAGCCAACCACAGTCCAGATTTTGACCATGACAGAGATTATGAAGACGAACCGGTCAATGAGGACATGGAGTGAACACCTGGGGCGGGGCCAGCCCGAGAGGGAAGATCGGAGACGAGAAACAAAAACATGTCCAAAGTTTGCAGTGCAGTGGCTCTGCGTTGGCCTGGCCGAACAGGCTGGAGGAGCCTCACTACACTTTGGCAACTCTGAAACGTGTTAACTCTTAGTGCCATCAAGAATCCCATTTGGGAGTATTTTTGATTTTTCTACTTTTTGTTGAAAAAAGGAATTTGTACTCTGTGCGTTGGATGGACTCGTTTGGTACTTGGGATTTTCCTCTCTTCACAGTCAACATCAGTGTTGTAAATTTGCTAAACTGAGATTCACTTTTAGCAGCAGACTTTGAACTGCAGTCCTGCCGGCATTGGACACTGAGGACGCCGACTGAGCTTGCGCACCTGAGCTGCAGACCACGCCTCTGCCAGGATCCAGGACTCCAGTGGACGACCTGTTGCACAGTACCGCATGTTGATTATCACTGCCTTTACGCCTTTGGGTTTTTTGATTTTTTTTTTTTTTTTTTTTTGCTTCCAGTTGGGATGGGGAAGGCCTTTGTGTGTGTATTGGGGGGTGGGGTTAAAATTATCCCAAACTTTTTAATGTATGGCTTTTTTTTTTCCTTCTACTTTACCATTTTAAGTTCTGACCTCAGGCCTCCACTTGGCCCACGGCCTCTTGGAGGCTTAAAGTTTTCTGTACCTTGTGATGAATGTTGATAGGTATTTTTTATTACACAGAGCTGAATGTCATTTCTCGTTCGTAGTTTTCTGTCACTCATTCCATTTTCCTACAGACGCCACCACGTTTCTCTGAAGTCAGAAAACATTCCGTTTTGGTCTTTTTCCAAAAAGGTCCCAAATGCTGCAACTCTACACATGAAGGTCCCGTCACACAGATGGGACATCCTGCCAGAAAGAGAATGAATGACAGAAAAAAAATATATAGAGAGACACACTCAGAACAATGCAGACTCATTCCACAGAGCAGTATTGGGGTGGTGAGGGGTTGTTCAGAATTCCTTTTTTTTTTTTTTTTGAAAATAAGAAGCATCATTCTGAATAAATGCCACAGCACTGCACCAGCACAAGGACACAGGCAGGCACGGTGATGATTAGGCTGACCTCGTGGATGGGAATGGCTCTCCCTCCATGACCCCGTGGTCAGGGTCTGGGGCTCCTTGCTGGGATGACCACCGTGGGCTGCCTTGACTACAAAGTGACCAGAGGCCAGCTCCCCAAAGCAACTTTGTTGGAGGGGGGCAGTGTGGAGGCTGGATCATTGGAGCTGCCTGGTGGCACTATTCTGTTTAAATGCAAATTAGACTTCAGGTCGCTCTTGTTGAGGGCGTTAATGAGGACCGAGTTCAGCAAATGCCGAAGTGTGTGTCTGGGAGGTGCGCGGCTGGTGTGTCACGATCACTGTCCCCCAGTGTGGAAAGCTGACAGAAGACATCAGGTAGACCAGGCTCCTGCAGGCCCTGGGCTTCGGGGGAGCTGCACCGGGCGTTCACAGCGCCACGGCCTCGGACCTCCAGCCCGGCCACACCTCCGTCTGCACCCATTTCCCTGACATGTATTTATCTAGAACTGTAGCTTTTGTTTTTAGTTTGAGAGCCTTTTGGAGCTTAATTTATATTCTTTGTACCTTTTATTTCTAAAATTACCAAAGATATTACACAAAGGTAAATTATGTTCTCTGTTTTATGCTTTATCTGATGAAGCCAAATATCCTCTTATTGTTGATCAAAGGAGGTGAAAGGATTTAGAAGCAAATGATAAAAGATACAGGCTATTGCTAACCTGAGAAAGTTGGCCATAGAGCAGATTTAGAAGACCAAGTAGGTAAAGGAACCAAAGTTGTTACTTTTTTCTAGTTTTTCTTTTTTTCTTCTTCTTGTACCTCTACAGAGACCAAAACTCATCCTTATTAAGAAAAATTATGGGGCTACTGAAGATGAAAATAGGGCACAGTATTATAGTTGCTACAGAAGGAACGAAGTCCCATCTCAAAGAGCTGTGAGCGTTGCCACCGGAAGTGAGCATGTCCAATAGAGGAGACAGTTAAGCTGAAAACCAGGAAGAACCGAAAAGCATCTGCAATTGAACCTAGACCACATGATATCATTTCTAGAATTTTTTTGTTGTTATTTAGTGAGATTACATGCCATTTTTGTTTATGAACTGTGCTGTGATCACTGCATTAATTTTGGTTTATTTTGGCATAGATCCTCCAATTTGTCTTTATGTTATTTATCTTTTTGGAATAGGCTTTGGACAACATTTTTCATTTACTAAAATGAAAAAAAAAAAAAAAAAGTAACACTCCTGTCCACTCATAAGCTTGGTACAAAAACGTCTTTGGCAATGACCTTGGAAGCGTCACTCTGCTTTCTATTTGAAGGGCAGTCTGTGGTCCCTCACGGCTCCCCCACTTCTCCAGGCAGCTTCGTGATGTGCAGGCAGTAGCCGGGGGGTCCCGGGAAGGGCCCCGTGCTTCTAAACGGAGTGGTTGCTGGTTAGTGTGGTATTCAAAAGAGGATAAAAATCTGGTAGATTAGCTCATTCTCAGCATGTGTAGCTAGACACGAGTAACGGTAACAGCATGAGAGACTGTTAGTACGCATACCTCAGTCCAAACCTTAGGAATGATGAAAACTTAAAAATACATTTCACTCAGTTGCACCTAGTTGTATGTCTTGCATGCTTAGTCTAAAGACTGTAGCAAAAAAAGAAAAAAAAAGAAAAATTAGATTTTACATATCTTTGCAGGTATCATAGCCTTGCAGAAGAACCAACTGAAAAAGCAATTCTCAGGCTTCACAGCAAGCAAATGTCACTATGATTTCTACAGTTCCAATTCTGTATCCCATGGGGGTTCCGGTCGCTTCCTTAGGATGGGGCTTATTATGTTGTACATAAATCCCAATGTGTCTGTGTGAATCTTTGTCTTTTCTGGGGGAGGGCAGAGGGCGGTTCTTTTTTTAGATATTGTTCCTAAAAAGGAATAAATGCATACACCTGTTTGTCAAAACACCTTTGCTTTTTGTGCAACTGCTTTATATTAACAACAGAAACATCTTTGGGGAAAAAAAAAAAACCTGCTGTATGTAATGGAATTGCAGAACATGCTGTACTTCCTTTGCTTTGAGAATATTGGATGACGTTTTCTGACGTGGGAGGGAGAAACTTTTTTTTTTTTTTTTGCTTTTGAATTGTAACATAGTTGATGGATTTTTTTTCCCCCGTTATCATCGATTGGAGCATTTTGTACAGGTTTGTGTGTGCGTGGGTGCGTGTTTTAATCTGTTTTTTAATACATTCCTGTCCCTTGTGTTTTATCCTGCCACTGCCTTCCTGGCTGTCTTAAAACAAGTTCATACATTTGAAAAAAGAAAAAAAAATGTTGTTTAAAAATGTTTTCTCCTGCTGCAGTAAATATTTTGCATGATGAAATTCTAGGGGTCACACTTTCAAAGTTTATCAGTGAAGTAGTGATTCATAATGGGGAGTGTTGGAAATATTTGAAGTTTTGTATAAAAAAAAAAAAAAACTTTACAAGGTGCCAAGATGTAAAGACAGTTTGTTACTTTTTTTTTTTTCCTCTCCTCAGAGAAAGGCATACATTAGGGAGGGGGTCCCACGTGTCAGACTAAGGCAGTGTCAGGAATGCGGACTCACCCTACCTGTCCCTAGAGTCTGTCCCTGTAAGACGAGCGAGGCTGCCAGGCTGGACCAGCAAAGAAAAGAAACAGGTTATGCACTAAGAGTGACCGCCGACCCTGTCCCCTTCCAGCTGTCCTAAAAGGATGCTCCCAGTGTCCCCTCAGACCTAATAAAGAAAATCATGGATTCTTAACCTAAAATGTGACGTAAATCACTAGATTTTTTCTTTTTTAAATCATAAAAACAAGGCGACTTCATGCATATCTGCCCCTTTCCCACCCATCCCAGCTGAGCTGCCTGCAGGGCTCACGCGGCAGTGCTCATGACCACCCTCGATCTGTGCGGTGCCTTTGGGTTCCTGGCATCCCCTCCGGACGTTCTGAATGTTTTGCAAGTCGATTTCACCCTTTTATCCAGAGGAGGAGGTCTACAGCCCTCCAGGCGTCCCGTGGGCCTGGCAGCTCATGCCACCCTGCTCCCTGCAGGCGGCCGTGGTGGCCACAGCGCGGTCCGGACATGAGCGTGGTGCTCCATGTGTTCGTGCTGCCAGTAACTAGAGCTGCTTTGTTTTGTTTTGATAAGGCATAAAAGAAACTCATTCCTTGACATCAACTGTAATTCCATCATTCCATGTCTGTGGCTACAGACAATAAAAAAAATGTGGTGTAGTCAGTACTGACGACTGACACGATAGCGTTCTCATATGCAATAAAGACGCTGGTTGTTCACACTGGTGCTCAACGTTGCCCCGGCCTACTTTGTTCCCCGACCCCTGGTGCTGAGTGCGAGGCACAGGCTGGGGCTCCTCAGCCAGCTGCCTCAGAGCCGAGTCACCGTCGGGCTTCTCTACAAGCTGCACCACCAGTCGAACAGAAGCCCTTTCCGAGGATGAGATTTCCAAGGAAAGCATGCACTGGGAGGATTGGGAAGGAGCGCCAACGAGGGCTGTCTCCTGAGGAAGCACACTCCTATTTCTCTTCATCAAATTTTATAAAGAAAAACAAAATGTTTAATAACTAGCATTAAGAGCAAACTAAAATTTCAGAGGAAAGCAATTTCATGAATAATTCATTAAAATTTCACATCTGCAAGATTAGTCATCCAAATAAAATGCTAATGTCAAAAACATGCACCGTCTATAATATTCTCATCAAGAAATCTTTTTGCATATAATGATAAATGCTTAGATTAGAACAAATGATTCTATAAAAATATTCTATCCAAAGTGCGCTGGATAGCCGTGTTCGGTGCAGAAAACAACTCAGGAACCAAACTGTCCCAGAAAAACTACCTGATTTTTTTGTCATTTTAAAAAAATTCAGTATGTTTAAAAATTGTGCAGTTTCTCTTTAGTGTCATTCTCTCATGTATGTATGGGAAGGAATAATGAATCCCAGAATCGTCTTCCAGCACAGATTAAATTGCCAGTACATTGAAAACGGGCGCTTGAAGCAGCCACGCCGTCAGAACACAGAACCTATAACGTGTGGTTTCGAGCACATGAAACGACTCGCATCGTTGCCGTATCCGTGTGGTGAAGCGCCCACAGATGCTGGCAGACAGTGTTCTTGCCCAGCATTGTTCTGAGAAGCCCGAAGGAAAGTTCTGAATGCTTTTTTTTAAAAAAAAAAAAAAAACAAGTAGAATTTGCTGCTAGGTTGCAGGTGAACATCCTCCCTTCACTGACAGTTACGCCACACTCTGGAAACCTCTAGTGCAGTGACTCGCAGGACACCTGAACCTCTCCTGGCTTCTGAGAACACAGTACCAGGGTCCCCTGAAATCCCGTAAGTTGTAGGCTTAAGCACAGATGCTCCCACAGCGCATGCCCACGCTTGGTCCTCTGCACATACACAGAAGGACCCAGACCCCTGAGAGGACGCATTGGTGAGGCTAGCCGGGGACACCCTGTGCTTTCCTGGTGTTTCAGGACCGACCTGAAGCAGGAACTCTGGCACACTCCAGACTTGCCACTCCAATAAACAAGGCGGCAGACCCCAGAATGGATTCCTCTTTTAAATGGGGAACCTTATATATAAACAGCATGTCTCTGAAGGCTAATTTTACACAACGCAAGCAGTTTTCTAAAACTGTAGTCCCCCACCAAAAAAGATAACAAAAACTATTAGCCGCTCTTGACTACATGTCTTGATTATATTACATATGTATATACAGACTAGCAATCACAATTCATATTTTCATTGTGGTTAAGTCAAAAGTATTCTTTATTCAAATACAGTGAACTTTGTCTCAATCCTTAAGGTACTGATTGATGAAAGGTCTAACAGAGAATTCACACTGGAGAGAAATTAAATACAAAAACACTGTTTTAACTCTGGAACAATATTTGGATTAGAGAACCATCACTTTATATATGACCTAATTATTTATTTTTAACCAGTATTTTATTTAAAAAAAAACGTATGTCATCATATCTCCACTAGTTATAAAGTCACATTCGGTGCTGAATATCAAGACATATATATTCACCCAATGTTATCAATAGCCTTTTGTTGGTGTGCAGGGGGGAGGGGATATACCAAGAATATAGGGAGGGAAAGACACGATTCAAGTTATAATGTGAAGGTAACCGGCCTTTCAAGAATTAATTTCAGCCAAAGCAATAATCATTATTTACCAGCGTGTGACATTTTTATCACTCATCATATTAGCAAATTTCCATTGAAAATGCTAAAATGGTTCGTCATAAGGCAGATAACTGCTCGAGCTGTAAAAATGACCAACACAAGTGCCGGTACTCAAACATTAAATTATACTGTAATTAATAAAGACAGTTAAACTGTCTACCAGCAACAGCAATTTAGGTAACCACATTTGATCAGCTATAAATTCTAACTACATTAAAATTCCAGAAATATTAGCAATATGGATCACTTGATGGAAGTCAGTGCTGATCACCAATGCTCTTTTTTTAAAAAAAAAAAAAAAAAAAACGGAAGCACAGGTCGCGTTGACCACAAATCCGTGGGCCAACATCAGGCCTTGGCACTTTTAATCTTGTGAAACAAGCAATTACAAATAGTTGCATCGATTTGTTAAAAAGCTTTAGGTGACATAAATTGTTTCCTGTTTGCTCTGATACATAAATGTCACCAAGTCCAGTATTAATTAGGGCCATAGAACAACACGGGGTGGCGGTGTGGCCTCTGATCAAGAATGTGTCATTCCCTTTGTGAAGGTTCTCGGGTGGCTCCACCTCCCGCTTGCCACAGTGGGCAGGAGAGGAGAGCAGAGCTGCTTCCCCCTGTGAGGCCCTTCGCACAGCTGGATTTGGAGCCCTGAACTACTCCAGGATTGCAGACTGGCTATGTTGGCCATTTGACATGAACCTCCGCATTTTTAAAATATCTTCTAAATAGAATAATATTTACAAGGCATTTGAGCCTCTGAAAAGCCAACACATTTTGCCCTTGTCAGTATTTGGTGCTATATGGGTTTCCTCTGGTTTATGTTTCTTAAAATGCAATTTCAAATGGCTATTGACTTAACGTAAATCAAACGTATCGTATGTACTTTCTTGGGGTTGGCATGCCACTTAGAAAAGTCTGAGATTCTGGGAGGAAAAAAGCCTGGAGAAAATTTATTAAATAGAAGTTTTTACTGTAATAGAATATTAACGTAACTCGGTGCTCATTTGCCATTAAGCTGATCCTTTTTAAACATACACATGCTTTCTATTATTTTGCACTCAAGCAAAAATTCCACAAAGACTTTCCATCTAGCTGGGAATGTCTCTGGCAAGACACATGTCAAGAAAACCTGAACTCCAGAAAGAGTGGGCATCGTCCGCACTGAGTGCCGGCCCACTTGGCCATGGTCGCAGACCACGCCCGAAACAAGGCCAGCGCTGGTCAATAGTGTGGCAGAGGCAGAAACAATTACCCTTTAAATCCTTCCTGGCTGCTGCTCCATCAGCACACAGATGAAAATGTTTGATTTGCAACATAAAAGATTCATTAATTACCACTTGAATATTTAAAGCTATTTTGCAGTCTAACAGAGATAGATAAAGCAATGAATTAAAACCTCTAATAAAATTGTAAAAATATTTCGGTAAGTTTACCCGTGTTATGATTTAGGAAGAGATTCAAGCATTCTCACAGAATAAAGTCTTAGCAATTTTCAAGTGTGCATTTGAAAGAAGGAGCTAAGTGTTCCGGGAATAATTTGTTTCTCACTTTCAAATGTTTACTAATAATTTACTTTTGACTCAGGCTTGTTGCCTTAGGACTCCACAGATGAAAAAAAAAAAAATCTAGAGAGCAGGTCTCTGCATCAGGTATCTAATCCAGAAATTAAAATTCTATCAAAAGTATGGCATAGCGCCCTTCCACCCACCTGGCCGCCGATTTGTCCGTGTCTGACTCACTCAAGTGGTGCAGTGTCAGGATCTGGGGACCCTTGAAGCAGAGCATCCCCAGCCCACTCTGATATCAAATGCTAGCAAATTGGAACACGAGACCTTCCCAGACCACAGGCAGGGCGCCCCCGGCAGCTGGCTACCTTTCCCTGGTCCTCTGCTTCCTCTGTTAATTCAGGACATTTAACTGATGAAAAGAGTTCCTTCTTATTTTACAGTTCTAAAATTTTAATAACATATTCCCCCTCGAGGGTTTTCCTGATGAGATCCTTGGCACAAGCGTGTTGTGTGACAGTGCATATTGCAAAGATATTGTAGGGTTGTCTTACCAGACCCTACCTTGTACCTTGCTGTCAGAATTCCATTCCCCCAGCATGCAATGCACGCTGCACCTGCCCATCCCTGCATTGCTCAGGGCTGAATGACCTGCTCAGCCCAACCTGGGAAGGCCAGCTGAGAGACACAGCCCTGGAAGTTTGTAAACACATGGTTGTGTTGCGATACTGTCCATGCCAGGGGGAGGACAGCTGAGGAAGGCCCCTCAGTCCACCTGGGACAGTCAGTAGACCTCCCAGAGAGCGCACTGTTGAACTGAAACCCACAGGTGCCCAAGTGTCCACCAGCCAGGCAGAGGCGGTGCCAGAGCTGAGGGCAGAGTGCACAGAACTCTGGCAGGGCCTGGGTGCATGTGGGAGGGGACTTCAGAGCTGAGGCTAGCAAGGAAGTCTAAGACTCTGAGTACAGCCACTCTTGCAGTTACCAACCACAGGCCATGCCAAGTGAGTCATCGTGAACAACACCAGGTACGTCACACAGTCGAGCTAGGTCATTCCTCAGTGGCCCTAGGAAACCGAGTCACAGCAAGGCCAGCATGCATGCCCTGCCCCTCTCCGTCCCTCTGGCTGGCTTGCGTGCTGGGTGTCTGCACTGCACTCTGCCCTGGGGCTCGGGAGCTGCTCTCCCTAACCTCTCTCCCTGGTGCTCCTGGTGGCTCACATCCTCCGAGTCTTTGCTCCTTTCCTACCTCTCCAACTGCAAGGGACGAGACCTTGCCCTTGTGGTTCACAACTGTCTCCCCAGAATGAGGACCAGGAATCCCTGCTTAGGTTTGTTGAGGGAATGAACACACAGCACGGCTAGCCATGCAATCTGCAATCTGAAACCCTGCAGCAGACCTGGGAGCCTGTCCACCATTCCATGGAGCTCTGCGGCCACCCAAACCAAACACCTTTCCAACCTTGTACTACTGAACCTGCAAGATAGGCAAGGTCACCAGCATTGCCAGATGAGGACGCTGGGGCCTCCTAAGCAACACATGTTGCACAGAGCAGGTCTGGAGATGTGCTCTTGTTCTT